ACAAACTACCGTGATGATTGTGAAGCATTTACTACACTTTCTCTCTCCCCCCGATGCCATCTCGACTTTGGTAGTTGCTCATTCTCAGCGACGGGAACAGAGGATGAATTTTGGACAGCTGTTGAGACGCAACGGTCATTTAATTTGTATCCTCAGTATCGTTAAATTGATGAATGTTCCCCCTAATGGAGATCGTTGTCTAATGGGTAGCAGTGCGCGTAGCCTTCGTCGAAGGGATGAAAGCTCTAGTGTGCGTAACCGCGTTAAACATAAAGTGAATTTGTGCAACGCACAGTTGGCATTGCGGGGAATCTCTCTGTTTTCATGTTAACAAACTGAATCGAGCTAATACCTTTCTTCAAGAACTGTTCCGTTACATACTGTTGTATATACAGTTACTCCTAGGGATGCTGTTTTTAGGGTAATTTGAGGCCTGCTTTCTTGATATGATATTTGCGTAGCAAAAAGAGTATATTTCGATTATAGTTTGCGTTTCGCTGCATATTTTAATGGATTGCAGTGTTTATATTTTATTCTAATCATTTTTGGTGATGGTGTCAATCCTGCTCCTATCCCGCTATGTTTTGAAGAATTCTGGTCGATGTTGCCTCACTGTTCTCCATATGCAGGATATTATAAATGCGAAATGAGCCACTTGATGCATTACAGTTCCCTTGCTTACCATGCCTCGTGCGAAAGCTGTAAAAGGTTGGGCCGTCTGCGTTCCCAAAAGTGGCCGGATATTCGTTTCAGCTGATGCTGGCGTTCTCCTGTCGGTCATGCTAAGGTTCGTTTCTAGTTATTTGTGGTTGCAGTAGGCATTCCACATTTTGGATGATGAATTGGTTTGAAAGATGCCCCCGTATAGCCAGGTTTCTTGAGAATCTTAATGTCTACCTGCTGAAACAGTTAATTTAAGTTTGCTCTACAGAATACTGGCGTAATCCTTGCGTGTGTTGTTAAAATTTGAATCTGACACTGATTTTCATTTTAGGAAAGTCCATATAGGAATAACTGCCCTATACTGCTCCAGAAATGACGTGCCTGATGAGACTAGATAGGCCATATGATTATTTAAAATGCCGTTTCTCTTGGATCCGTAAAACGTGAGGCTATATTTGAAAAACCTGAAGCGTTGAATAAGTTTTGCGCTTCGTCATTCAGATGGCATTTGGAAACCAAAAACTTCCGGTATTCAGCATACCTTTCTTCTTTGGGGCGCATATTGTTAATTGACCTTTGTTCCTACTGCTGAAATGGGCAGGAGACGAGGGCAGGTGTAGGAGACTGGATCAGTTGTTCATTTGCTCATCCTCCTGTGGTGAGAGCAGTTCTAAGGTAATAATGTATATGTACTTCTCCTTCAGCTTTCTGGAGTAGTGTGAAGATTTTCATTTGAAATATTTAGATAACCGTTAAAGAACGTGAAACATCGACTAGAACGTATTAGTAGGGCACTAGGTCGAATCTGTGCATTCAGTTTTCTGTTTTAAAGCTTTGACTGGACGTAGCTTAGTTTGATTCGCGACTACGTTGTTCTTGCTGACTAACGGAGGAGGATCTAAATAATTGAATGATGGGAGTGAATACCATAGCATTTCAATCACATTATTTGGAGTGATATATTTACTGTGGATGATGTTTTGGAAATGCCGATAGCTGGCAGTGCACATGCTCCTCTTCGTTTTGGAACAAAATCTTTTCTTACTTCTTCTTTGCTTCTGTTTATTATAGTAAATCTTTTATCGCAGTACTATAACAGGCGTGACAGGTGATTGACTGTATAAGTACATATTAAGTACTGCATAGTAAATATATGGGTACTGAAATGGAGTTGAGAAGGATGATCCACGACGTGAATCAGTCTACATCGCCAGTAAGCTATTTAAGCGGCATCATA